ACATATAGCATCACAACATATATAGCATCACAACATTCAATGGTATACGTCTCGCCGTAATATAACACTTAAAGGGACGTTACGGAACTTTCAGTGGGGAGTGGTGCCATTCAGGCGGTGTATAACCTTATTCAGTGGCGAATTAGCATGAGCTTAAAACAGAAAAGAAGGGGAAGCAGGAAGGAAAGAGGATCATCGGGTGAGAGGAAGCAAGTGAGGAACCAGACACAGACAGGGAGGGAGAGGCCAGGAGAGGGCCAAGATTCTGAAGAAGAAAAGGTAGGGACTATCAGAGAGGGAAAAGCTCGGTCCCTCTGGGTCCCCCGCGAGCAACCCTCCTCTCAAACTTCTTTTTTTAAATGAATCCAACCCAAACAAGTATACATTGCCCAGCAGAGTATTTGTTTAAATTTCTGCCCAAGCACTTACAGTCGTCATGTTTCCAATGATCCAGAGAAGCGGCGGGAGGAGAGGACATGGCGATCTACCAGTGATCGCTACGCGATCGACTGGTAGATCGCGATCGACCTTGTGGGCACCCCTGAACTACAGTCTCACATTTACTTTTCTAATTTGTATTGAGATTGTAGTCCATCACAGGAGTGAGCTTGGAGTGGTGGCTACTTTACAACACACACAGGGACCATGGGGAACAAAAGTAGCCCCCCTCCAGAAGGAAGGACAGTGTCAGCACCAATTCAGAGATGACTGGAGGATCTACAGCCGAGTGATACACAAATGAGATACATGTTTGTTACTAATTAATGTACTTGAATGTATTTTTTAAGATTTAACTCCTGGGTTTAAAGTGACATTAAAGACTATTCCCCCCCAAAATGTTAGTTTAAGGACTTACCTTAAACTATACCTCTTTATTCAATCATCTTCTTCCTTAATATCCATTTCAGCTGTCCCTCCAGCCAGGGCCGGATTTACTCTCCTCTCCTTTTTTTTCACCTAACTTTATTAGGTGGAAAACAATCCCTTGTGTGATAGCAATTGGAGGTGACAGTTTCTCTTTATTGACCCTGTCACCTCCAATACAGGAGTTCTAGCACAGCACTGTGCTGGAACTCCTGTGACAGGTGAGAGGGGAAGAGCACAGCTCTCCCCTCTCACTGTCTGCACGGAGCGGCAGGATTAGTTTGAACCCTGCCGCTCACTGCAGTGAGGAGACGGACTCGGCGGCGGAGCCCGGAGGACGGAACCAGAGGAGAGAGGTAAGTGCAGGGGGGGAGGAGGCTGCAGACTGTTTACATGTGATCTCGGCGACACCGAGGCCTCGGTGGCCTTGTGGGGAATCCGGGCCTGCCTCCAGCTCTGGTGCGGGTCTCCGATCCAGCGCTGACTTCTATGTCCTCCTCTCCTCTGACGTCCCCCGACTATGTGCGGGCGCACGCTGCTCCATATACTTACCTTGTGTCTCTCCTCGTCTACCAGCCAAACATCTGCACTGTGCATGCGCCCGCCCCAAGATCCTTTGCGGCCCCCCAAAACTCTTTAGATGTTCGGACGGGAGCGTGCGGCGAAGACACAGGTAAGTTTAAACCTCTTTCAAAAGGTTTTAAAAAATAAAGTTTTTGCATATATCTATTGCTTGCTAGCAGTAGATATATGCAAAAAAAGGTGAGTGTTTAATTACCCTTTAATGTCACTTTCAAGGGGCTTAAGACACACTTACGTGGTTATTTATCTTTAGCTGCATAGATTCACATACAGATCAAAAACTGTCAGCGTAAGCATCTACTGTATACAAATAACTATCCTTTGATCACTTTTGCATTATGCTTTTTAAAACAATGTATGGAATTGTTTTCCTGTTATCTACAGTTTGCCTTTATCTTGGGTTACCACATGTCAGGGGAACTCATATAGACTGCCCTGCCTAGAAATATAATTTGTGTCTTGGAGTTTTAGTTTTTCTTCCTACAAAGGAAAATAAAACCAGCCTCAGCAGAGAGTTCCAGTTTGGGATGAAGGACAATTGTGCCTAGAGGTAAAGGTAAGGGTGGGCCTGACTGCTAGAGACATGGTTTCTGTATAGGAGTGGCTTCCTAGCTTTAACTGACAAATTTGCAGGTATAAGGGGAGGGGTTAATAACCGTATATTCCTAAAGGGTGGGATTGGGGTCCTATTGAAGCATGGCTGGGGTGGGCATTACTACCCTGGAACATCCTACCCTTTCCTGGAAAGTTCCCAGCTACCCATCTGGTACAGCTTTATTAGTGTGTTTTACATTGCCAGTAGTTGGATGGTACCTGTTTTATGCCCACTTGGATCTATGATTAGATGTAGAGTCGTCCAAGGCCAGGTTTTCGCAATGCACTTTTTTTCTTATTATTTTTTACTTTTCAATCACCTTTTTATTTAATTATTATTTCTTATTATTTTTATAATTTTTTTTCACTTAAGTTTATTGCTATCACACAGGAGCTAGCTAACAATGCGGCTGGGGGGGAGGACGGAGAGAGAGAGGTAGGTAGGTGCGGGGGAGGAGAGGGGAGGATGGACAGGCTGCACACATTTTACACATGATCGCGGTGGCATCGCCGTGATCACATGTAAACAAGCAAGCGGCTTCCCCACACTACATTTAGTCCTGCCTTCCCAAAGCAGGACTAAATGTAGAAGGCAACTTACCGCTCGGCGCCCGAAACTTTATGTTCCGGGCGTCGGGGGATTCAACACAGCTGCCTCGGTGGCCTTGTGGGGGATCCGGGCCTGGGGACGTCCAGATACCAGTTTAAATACCAGTGCAGATACTTGGCATTTTCATGAGAACTACCAGGGTTGCAGCGGTTGCAGCTGGGACCTGGCTCTGGCTCTCCACCACTGTCCTGAAATCATTAGTCTGTATTGTTTTGGAAAAACTGTAACATGACAATAAACAAAAATGTATCAGTACTTGTATCTGTGAGGACTTGGGCAAGTATCAGTACTTGTACTTGTAAAAATGGTATCGGTGCATCCCTAATATATATTTATAAAACAAAATCCTACATTACAATAGGGAAGAGGATAATATTCCTGGCTAGGCAGCTCTACAGTAGATGCACGAAAGGACCACTAGAGGACACTTCAGTTCAAGATTTACATAAAAGAAGAATGGAATGCCACAGCAGTTGTTGAGTTGAAACAGAATATTTATTTCCTAGTGCATTGGTTTTTATTATGTAAGGACATTTTTTGTTTGGACTCTCAACAATTGGGGTGGTTCTTCGTTCTTTCATATAGAAATTCTTGTCAGGACCATTGAAGCAAGGTTATCATAGTCCAGAGCTATCCGGTTGTTTCTGCTTGCCATTGGCTTTAATTTCAATGGGCTTAATATTGTTATAATTATTAATTATATGTTTAAAACATATAAAAGCTGTAGCCGTGCCCATTTCAAGATAATTGGTTCTACTGACTATATTGGGTTAGCCATCTTTAGGGTCAGGCTCTGGAACGCACTGTATCGCACTCCAGCCGGTTCCCTGCGTTTAGGGGCGGGAGGAGGCGTGGCGGTGCATTAAAGTCAAGTGCGGTCCAGTGCGATCTGCAAACTTAGTGCTTGCAGCATTTTTGCAGACTGCACTGGACCGCAACGCAGGCACTGATGGCTCTGGTGCCATTGACTTTAATTGAACCACCACAACCCCTCCCGCCCCTGAACACAGGGAGCCGACCAGAGTGCGATACAATACGTTCCAGAGCCTGACCGTTCTGGAACGCACTGTTTGTGGTGTGAGCCACACATTTTTGCTGCACAACTTTGTGTGTTTTTTGCACGTTTTGTGGGCAGATTGTGACACATTGATGTAAATAGAGGGAAAGGCGTGTACAACACTGGCAAAAAATGCACAAAAACTAAACAAATGCTAATTTTTTAGCATTTCCATTGAAGTCTATGGGGCCAAGAAGCACTTAAAGGACAACTATGAGGTGAATGCTTTTCACTCACCTCATAGTTCTAGCCGACCTGTGACAATGAGACTGTCACAGGGAGGCTCAGTAGATCGGGAAGTGAGCGAACACATACCGACGTTCCCTCACTTCTTGATCCTGTCACAGCTCTCTGCCGTGACAGGGGAGTGGCTGGATTCCCCCCTCCCCGATCCTCCAGCGCTGATTGGCGGAACGGACGTGGGAGGGATAGGCAAAGCCAGCTGTCACTCACGCAGCTGGGCGGATCCAGACATAATTGTCAGGATCCGCTTCAGCTGCGGCATCTCAGAATACCGCAAGCTGTAGATCGCGGCCTACTGCTGCGTCTCAGTTATACTATACTGAGTATACTATACTATACTGAGCTTAAGGTGACGGGAGGACGCTAGACTGTGTCCTCCCGTTACCCTAAGGCAGGGGTGCCCACTATTTTTCGTCTGGAGATCTACTTTTCAAATGAGGAGCTCATTTGAGCTCTACCAACGAAAAAAACACCTGCATTCAGGGGCGGGAGGGGTCGTGGCGGTGCATTGAGGTCAATGGCACCGCAGCCAGGCTTCGCAGGCAGGCCCCTCGCCGACAGTGCGATCGCCTGCATTAGTGCCTGTGTTCCAGTCCAGTGCGATCCGCAAAAATGCTGCGAGCACTATTTTTGCAGATCGCACTCGACCGGAATGAAGGCACTAACATGCCTGCGTTCCGAGTGCGGGCGATCGCACTGTGGGTGATGCCATTGACTTCAATACAGCTCCACACCCCCTCCTCAGATGCGGCTCTGTACTCGGCGGGCGCTCGCTCCTCAAGACTGACCTCGGGAGGCCCCCGCGGGCGACCCTCTACAGTGCCAGATCCAGCCATCCCGGATCGCATACTGATGGCAATTGCCACCCTGCCCCCCGGCCCAGTCCGCCCCTGGCCCTCCCCCCAAGCCAGGTCAGAAAGAGAAGGAAATATCCCCTGACATGAGCACAGATAGCAATAGGAATAAACTTGCAGAGTTGTCAACTTCATAAATAAATAAATCCTTACTGTAAAATATTGCCACAAACTGTATTGACATTTCTCCTTCTCTATCTGTCAGATGGCTCGGAAGAAGGTGATCTTTGTGACATTCCTATTATTTCCTTGTCTAAGCATGATTGCTTTCTTCATGTACAACGATGGTTTAAAAAGGAACAACTTCAAAAAGCTGCCTGAAGCCAACTGCAAACAAAACCCTCCATATTTGGTGCTGCTGGTGACCACGGCACACGACCAGAAGAAGGTGCGAATGGCCATCCGCAATACATGGGGGAAGGAGCGACTCATCCATGGGAAGAGAGTGGTCACCTACTTCCTCCTTGGCACCAGTTCCACTCCTAGTACAGAAGAAGACCCTATTTCAGAAGAACTTAACACCTACAAAGACTTCATCCAAAAAGACTTCCGAGACACCTATTACAACCTAACTTTGAAAACATTAATGGGCTTAGAATGGGTTACTCAATATTGCCCTCAGACCCACTACATCATGAAGACGGACACTGACATGTTTGTCAATACGTTTTACCTTGTGGAATTGCTCATGCGTAAAAATCAGACTTCAAATCTCTTCACAGGGTTTTTAAAGCTAAACGATGCCCCTATACGTGATGTACGCAGCAAGTGGTACATAAGTAGGAAAGAGTATGATGGTGATAAATACCCCCCGTTTTGTTCAGGTACGGGCTACGTGTTCTCTGTGGATGTTGCCCAAAGGATCTACAAAATATCTTTCTCTGTACCGTTCTTTAAACTGGAGGATGTGTACATGGGTATGTGTCTGGACAAATTGAATATCACGCTGCAGGAACTTCACCAGAAGCGAGTATTTCTTCTAAGCAAACATACTTTCTCTGTGTGTGCCTTTCGGAACCTTGTGACATTGCATGGTGTCCAGCCACAGAAAATTACACTTTATTGGGATGCCTTGCAGAGAACACAAGATGAACGCTGTTAAGATGTACCAGTATTTTTTTTTCCGCTCCATAAGAAGCGAAAATGAGGGGGAAAATGTGCCTGCGTCTTATGGAGCGAATACCTATCGCCCGACGCCCTGGACATACAGTTTCGGGCGCCGGGCAAATCGTTTCTTTTTGTACATTCAGCCCTGCTCCTGAATGTACAATTAGTAATTAGATCCCTTGTATTAAATCGAGTGGCGGCGGCGATCGTGTCCGCCCTCCGCCGTGGTTTTCGGGGGTCCCCTGCTCCTCTGGGGGACCATGACCCGTCACGGTCCCCCATAGGAGCACATCATAGAGCCCCTTGAGCAGACAAAGAACGTCGTTCTTCGTCTGCTCTGTGTGATTACTGAGACGGTGGTGTTCTAATCACAGCACCACCTGTCTCAGCGGTCACTAACTGCAGCTTCTGTGACACAATTTCTGTCACAGAATCCCTGCGTCCTATCGTCCGGAGCGTCTTATAGACCGCAAAATACGGTACTTCCTTTTTTATATGCACATATGGTGAACTTGATTTGCAAACAAAATGAAGGGAATTTATCAAAACTGGAGCAGACAAAATCTGGAGCAGCTGTACATGGCAACCAATCAGCCTCTCTCTTTCATTTTCAAATCTTAAGTGACCAAACTGAAGAGAGAATCTCATTGGCTGCCATGCACATCTGCTCCAGTTTTTGTCTGCTCCAGTTTTGATAAATTCCCCCCAATGTATTTTATGTTTAGTTTTGGACTGAGTGGGTAACTTTTAGGACATCTGTTTTGTTAATGCTCATTGTGGCCTAATTTCTGATGGAATGCTCATTGTGGCCTCCTTCCCATGGCCAATTTCCCGTTGGTTCCCGTTCTTGTGACATTGTTGTCAGCAACACAGGAAGTGAAGGAAAATTTCATTTTTAGGGGACACAAAACTTTTTTTCAGTAGTGTGGTGAAGAATTAAAACCTCTGTCAGCTTTTTATTGCTGTATCCCTGTTAGAGATTTTCCATTACTTCCTGTCCCATGACGCTGTTATCACCAGGACCAGGAAGCTGGGAGAAATCGCCTAAATGGTGCTACATCCATCCATTAAAAATAGACAGATGTTCTAAATTCTATTCTATCTGAAATTAAACGAAAAACACTTGTTATGGTTTTGGGTTACTTTTAATATATTTTAATAATGTTTAGACTGATTTTTAAAAAATATATATTTTACTATTTGAAAATATGATATTTCCCAAATAAAATTGTAAAACGTGACTGAGGCTTCTCAGAGCACCATGGGTCATCTAAAGAGACAGCTAAGTAGAACTTGCCTTAAAGTTGCCTTACCCATATCTTCAAAATAACAACAAAGGCACCTTTAGAAATGTTTAGTAATGACAATCTACAAACAGATATTTATAGATAATTGCCGGATTTTTATTGTTTGCATACCTTATTTTTCTTTTCTTCCCCAGTCTTCTGACAGTGGCCATGTTTACTAAGGGCAGATTAATACATTTTACTTCCTGGAACTCTGGCACATGTGACTAGGACATGTGACCATGCACATCATCTCAGGGGAGGAAAATGCCTTTCCCTGAGATCTCATGAGATTACAGATGAGATTTCCCAGCAATGCTTTGCTGATGTAACCTCCCCAGAATGCAATGCTTGGGCACAATTACATCATTCGTGCCAAAAGTAGACCAGGAAGTGGAATGTTTTTATTGTAAGTAAAATAAAAATATGTTTTTTAGCTAATGAATGTAAGATGATTTCATATCAGCATGCAGAGCTGTATACTGATGTGCATTTTAGTCAAAGGGGGTAAAGGTCCATTTTAAGGCTGGTTTTGTCTGATTGTCACCTTGCATAGAAACCAATATGCTTTGTTTATTTGACTCTTTTACTAGCACATGTACATTGCAGCTTGAACTACAGAGTTTTTTTTACAGGAAGTGGTAACTAGTAATGAGACTGGCCTTGATGAGAACTCAGTTTGCCCAAGCCCACACTAAACTCTGACCGCCACCCCCTCCTCCTGACCCAATTAGTTCCAGGGAGGCACATTCCCCACCCTGCAACCAGAGGCATTTGCCTTTGGCGGCACTTTGCAGGGGGCGGCAAAAAATGACGCTCCCAAATCAGAGAGGCAAGCCAGGCGCACAGAATCAGGCAGCCTCGGCTGCCTAATCAGGCGGCAGCTGGTGGGGCCTGACAATGAGCTGTTGGGTGAAAGAGGCTTTGGGCGGCTCCTGGCTGGAAGAAGAAGCTGGGGGCGGCTCCGGGCTGGAGAAGAAACTGCGGGTGGCTCCAGGCTGGAGGAAGAAGCGGCATGTCCTGGAGGCATGCTGGGGAGCTGCAGGTAAGAGGAGCAACACACGTGCAGGGAAAGGGACCCTGCACAGCCCACCATAGATCCTGCACAGCCCACCTGAGAGTCTCTGTGCAGGGTCTATGGTGGGCTGTGCAGGGTCTATGGTGGGCTGTGTGGGGTCTATGGTAGGCTGTGCAAGGTCTATGGTGGGGTTCGTGGGCTCTATGGTGGGCTCTGTGGGGTCTACGGTGGTCTCAGCCTGAGACCCTGCAGAGCCCACCAGAGATCCTTTACAGCCCTCCTGAGACTAGACATGTGCATTCGGATTCGGACGAATCTGAAAATCAACAAAATTCAGTTGATTCGGCGGTTCGTCCAAATCCGAAATACCTAAATTATTATATGTCCAAATATACTAAAACTATATTCGGACATACATAAATTCATTTGCAGAACGAGCAGTGGCCATATTGGCCGTTGAACATACGGGCACCGCCAGGGGCATAACTAGAAATCACAGGGCCCCATAGCAAAAATATGGGGCCCCGTGATTGCTAGTTATGCCACTCGCAGAGCCCACCGGAGAGTGACCCTCCAGAGCCCACCATAGACTCTCTATAGTGGGCTCTGCAGGGTGTGAGATCTCTTACCTGTCAGTGCTGTCCGCCTCTGTGGTCGCCGGGCCCCGACTCCTGTTCCGTCCTGGGCCCCACCTCCTCTGCTATCAACAGGCCCCGCCGCCTCTTACATCACTGGCCCCACCTGCTCTTAGGTCGCTGGCCAGTGATGTAAGAGGAGGCGGGGTTGCTCTTAGGCGGGCCCCGGCTCCTCCTTCTTTCCAAACACCGCTCTCATCTTCCGCAGCGGCTGGCTGTCACTGACACAGCTCCGCAGCGATTATCGCATGTGTGTGGGCACTTTTAGACAGGAGCCAATTAACCTACCAGCATGTCTTTGAAGTGTGGGAGGAAAGCGGAGTACCCGGAGGAAACCCACGCAAGCACAGGGAGAACATGCAAACTCCTTGCAGATAGTGACTTGGCCAGGATTCGAACCAGGGACGCCCAGTGCTGCAAGGCAGAGGCGCTAACCACTGCTAATAGGAAGGAGATTAAGGAACTCGCATTGCCACTTCCTGGATGGATATGAGATTACATAATATTCATATGATTAGCATACTTACCTCACAACACATATTTTTTTAGTTCTGATCACAATAAATACAGAATTACAAATACAGTATAATAGTCATGGCTCTGAGCTGTAATACAAGACTGTCTTATACACAGGCTAGGGCAAGCTAAGGATCAGACAATTGGCTTCATGAATATTAGATCAGTCTCTGGTCTGCTCACATGACCTCTCTTTTCAGGAACAGAAAGCAAAAGGACAACAGGACGTCCATTATTCTATAATTGCCAATAAACAGTTGAGAGTTATGTCACCCTCTAAATATCATTTCTCCGGCTTTAAATTCCTGTTCCATGAAGATAATTGAACTCAGCTCGCCCCCTTGTGGCCACATTGAGAAAAACCATAGAAAAATTTAATTTGTTATCTCGTCCCCATTTATGTTGTAAGGGAATAACATCTCAGACTCCATATAGCAGGAGTTCTCACCAGGGTTCTGTGGGGTTTAACCAGTCTGGTGAGACCCCACAGTGCCCCAGTAAGACCCCCAAAGAGCCCTGGTGAGACCCCACAGAGCCCTGAATAACCCAGGTCTCTGTAGGGTCTCACCAGGGCTCTGTGGGGTCTCATCAGCCTGGTTAGACCCCTCAGAGCCCTGGTGAGACCCCCACAGAGCCCTGCTTAAACCAGGGCTCTGTAGGGTCTCACCAGCCTGATTATACCCCTCAGAGCCCTAGTGAGACCCCACAGAGCCCTGGTTAAACCAGGGCTCTGTGGGGTCTCACCAGGGCTCCAAGGGATCTCACCAGCCTGGTTAGACCCCACAGAGCCCTGGTGAGACCCCCAAAGAGCCCTGGTTAAACCAGGGTTCTGTAGGGTCTCACCAACACAAGGGTTCTGTAGGGTCTTGCCAGGGCTCTGTAGGGTTTAACCAGGAATAGTGAGAACCAACAGAGCCCTACTTTAACCAGAGCCATGTGGGGTTTAACCAGGCTGGTGGGACAACCAGAGAGCCCTGGTGAGACCCCTCAGAGCCCTGTTGAGACCCCACAGATCCTTGGTTAAACCAGGGCTCTGTAAGGCCCCCAGGGCTCTGTAGGGTCCCACCAGGGCTCTTTCTCCCCAGGGCTCCCACCATGGCTTTGTCGGGTCTCACCAGCCTGATTAGACCCCTCAGAGCCCTGGTACAAGGGCTCTGTGGGTTCTCACCTGGGCTCCGAGGTGGTCTCACCAGGGTAGCAGGGCTCTGTGGGGTCTCAACAGCCTTGTTAGACCCCATAGTCCCCTGGTGAGACCCCACAGAGCCCTGGTGAGACCCCACAGCGCCCTGGTCTCACCAGGGCACTGTGGGATCTCACAAGCACCAGGGCTCCAGGGTCTCACCAGGGCTGCATGGGGTCTCACAATGGCTTTGTGGGGTCTCACCAAGGCTCTCTGGGTCCCTGCCCCCGAGTCTACACAATCAACTTTTGCTGATTCACCCCAATACCAAAAAAACCATCAATGGACCCTACCGACATTAACAATCTCACACCAATCTCCTTAATGTGGTTCTCCTCTTACCTATCTAAGCGCTCCTTTAGT